AAACATTGCCACGAGACGCAGCATAGTCGAAAAATCTATATTATTTTTAAGGTTATTAGAGCTAACCTGACTGAGATATCTCCTATCAGGTCTTCTCTATACAATGGTGAAAACCGCAAGTCTCTATGTCATTTCTAACAAAAATTATTCAAAAAACAATGAAGTGCACTATTTTGAACAGATAGTAGTAAAATCTAATCGTTTAATTTTTTTATACAAATAGACTCGGGCAGTCAGTCTGTATGTCTCTGTACATTACTCGAAAGATATATCTCTTTTTTATCCTATTCTTTTTTTTGTTTTGTGCATCACTGACCTGATGATGATCGTACGATGGCAAACATTTGATAATTCTTATTTTTTCTCTTTCTTTCTTCTCTTCACTTAATAGAAAAGAATGAGTGTTCGACTATAGTGTAGTGTTTCGCTCGAATTCCAATAATATATGATGAACAAGGAAAAGAACCAATGGTCGAACATTCTACACATTCTTTTTTATTAAAAAAACATTAATTATTTGTCTCTTTATCGTTGAAAGATGAAACGTGTTCATCGTCGAATATGTTCAATACCTATTGCAGCAAAACTTTTAAGGTATAACAAAGACACGCTGTTGATGCCCTCATAGTTCTTACTATAGTTTATCGATTTTATTAAAGTACGATGAACCATGGAAATGTTCGACGGCAAAATGTTTTTGTCATATTATGTCATAGGGAAAAAGTAAAAAAATGATTCAGTGAAATTCTCGTTGCGGTGAATGTTCACTTAGATCATTCCGTTGAATTAATTAATTAACAGAGCCGTTTTTTGGTGTAGCGTTTCATTATTCGTTGGCTCTTATAATACTTAAATAGCATACTGTTTATGAAAAACATTAATTCTAAAAAAAAGAAATCGATTTCATACTTTTGACAAAGTATATTTATATCTTAATCAACTTCGCTATTAACAGTATTCTTACTTACTGTATTAATTTATTGTTTTATTTTTAGTAGTTTATCGTTAGCTGATCCATCACCTTCTCTAATAACTTCCAATGATTCAACAGCATCGACTCTCCCCCTTCCAACTTCCTCATTACCATTGCCTAAAAAACAACAAACAAAAACAAATCTATTATCTTCAACATCTTCTCTATCCGTTTTATCTGGTACAATCGATACAGTGGATAATAACAGTGATGATGTACTTCAATCATCGTTAGCCTCCCAGCATGCCGGATCAATGAATGATGAAGCTCAAGAGCAACAGCAACAGCAGCAGCAATTGCCACCTGTAAATAATTCGTACAGTAATAGCTCTAATACAACAAATAGTTCATGTACATCGCATGATGATGATAAAAATGATTGTAATCTACAATCATATCAACGTCAAACCGTTTATTCATCATCAGCTGTTCTTCAGAAAAGGCCTGCACCCAATGCCGAATTAAAACATCGTCGAAATAAAAGTGAACCGGTGAATCAAGCAATTATGACAACATTAGTCGATAAACAATCTTGTCCTTCAACAAATATTAATAATAATGATATACAGTGTAGTGATACCGAGTCGCGCTCGGATGTATTTCTACCATCAATATCGAATACATCAAATGAAAAAACAGTTAACCCTCAGTTTGAATTATCATTGGCAAGTACAACGTCGAATGGATCACCATCATCACAGCAAAAACAACAATCGAGAAACAATGGATCAACGTCAACAACAATTACTGATTGTAAAGATAATAAGCAAACAAAAGAAAAACGGAAAAAAGCATGGTACAATGTAAGTAGTCATCTTGCAGTAGAATCACTTATATCTAGCGAGAAATAGGTTAAAAAATGACTCCATTCTTTTGTCTATTGTTGGATGAGAACATTATTAAAATTACATAATAGTATTTATTAAGAACTCGTTAACTTATTGTAGTATGTTTCAGCGATGCATGCATTTTTTACTCATTCCATCACTTTGTAAATCAACTCCATGCAGTTCCCGTTGAGAAAAATTTGTCGACTTCATATTACTATGTTTTATTCCAAACAGTGATAGTAATACAAACAAAAACAAAAAATCGAAAATTTCATGTTTATTTGTTCTCAAAAATGAATGTGATAATATTTATGAATTTAGATTAGATCGTTGTTGAATAGTGATCATGCCTGTAGTCCAAAACAGAGCTCCACTGGATGGAAAATCCTCTTTGTCAATTTTTAGAGCATCATTTCTTCGTAAAGCTCTGTCAAAAAAATCCCCGGGAGTTTCTCATCTTCATACATCTAAGATATGTTTTCAAACTTGCATTCTGTTAGATTATAAATAAGACAACACCTTTCTTACTAGATTTGTCTAATAAAAAAAGAGCTTCTCTACTTGTTGAACTTGCAACTTTCACATAATGTAATTGTAATCTGATAACGCATTTTCATAAAGTTACGATGAAAATTTACTGGAAAAAGGATAACAATTACTTACTAGATTGAAGAGTATTGGAAATGATCATATCAAATTACAAAAATAAATTAAGGTTCAAAATTTTGTTCTTATTCTCACTCACTTCTATACTTAGATACAATTTTCCTAAATGTATTGATCTTTTCTACGATCATGATTTCAAACATTATTATATAATGTCAAAGTAATTGAGTATGTCTCTTGACCTCATCTTCTACTTATATTAATTAAATAGCATTTTAATAAAATTCATTACACCAATGATAACTAAGATATAATTATTTTTTTTGTAAAAGTTTATCAAGTTAAAGTCAAACAGTCGTTTGTCTCATCATATGTTCCTATTATATAATATTATACCTGTAAAATGCCCCCCATGAAATATTTGTACTGTATATTTTTCTTTTCACCATTTTTACTGCAATTCAAACGGTAATCAGTCTCGCTCTACCTCTAAATAACACAAGACAAATGGTAAAAAGTTTAATATGTTAATTATGAGTAGAACAAGAAGGAATAATACGTTTACTCAAATATATCGTGATGTCAATAAGAGAAAAAGCGATCATCGTGTGATCTTCGAAAATTTTCTTTTCTTTTTTTTATTCTTTTCTACTTTATGTTTTTGTGCGTGTATAGTAATAAACATAGGTCTTTTATATACCTGTATGAATGTGTGTGTGTGTGTGTGTGTATGATTGAACTCAGATTAGTTCTTTTGCTAAGTTTTCTTCTTCAAAAGAAAAGCACAAAATCCTGACTCTAATATGTCATTCTTTTGCTAAGTTCGAATTTGTCTTTGATTTAGTTGCTATATATTTTTTTCACTTTATTAAATAACAAAAAAAGTTATCACATGTCGATTTTTCAAAAACATATTAAATTAATAATTATTAATTTTGTTTAAGTTATTAGTGCTGTTAATAAAATATTTTTCTCTATTTAACTGTGATATAGTAATCTTTTATTTTTAAAGAAACAAAAAATAGACACAACAAACAAGAACATTTATATATCAGAGATTCATTTATTTGGTCGAAACATTATTATTTATGAGTAATAATGCAGTAGTATATCAAATTCTAAAATTAAATTCAATGATTTCAGAAAATATAAATGATAAAATGAAAAAGTTATCCTCATCCTCATCAACATTACAGCAAAATGTTATCAATCAACAATTAAGCCCATTTAAATTTCTTCAACATTCTTCATCGTCCGCATCACTGTACACACCAGTTTTACAATCATCTACATCTCTACTCGCCACACCATCGATACAAATACTTTCTCAAAATACTCCAACAAATGATAATGACAATGATAATAAGAATAGAATTGCTGCGAGTGCATCGGAGTCGGTATCGAATGCTCGTTCATTTATAATGAATAGTGTGGAAACAGAGAAGGAAGAAAATGTTCCATTTATTTCTCTATCTCTTCCCATTGATAATAATAATCGAGAACAATTGTGTCAAATTAAAAGTCAGCGAAACAAAAATTCAATTCGATATCGTCATAGATCAAAATCGTGTACAAATTCTCGACAAAAACAAAAACAACGTTTAGAATTACTTGACAATGAACAATCTGGAACAAAAACAACATCATTCAAACGTACAAAATCAGCTTACTATGGCACTAAGAAAAAAATGACTAGTCGAAAACATTCAATAGCAAGTCCACCGCGTCGTCGACGTTCGAGCCATCGTTTATTAGCTGTCTCTTATCATACACATCCTGTTCAATCAGTATCCGTTCATGAATCATCCAAACAAGAGAAAAACTATCAATTAACGTCGGTACAGTCCTTACCATTATTTCATACACCATCAAAACAAATAACGTGTTCTATAAGAAATTGGGTAAAACTGCGAGAAGTTATACTAGTTGAGAAAGGAATATGCATGTGCTAATAGGACTTGACGCCGACAGTAATACATTTAATAATACAAATCTACTAACGAATTCGTCTATATTCAAAGAAATGCTGACCCTTTCTCACAAATAAATTTAATTTAAATGATGATGTGAGAAATATTTGAAACATTCTCAATCTCACTTCTTTAAAGATGCCTTCATTTATCATACTAGAACAACATCACTTAATATTTAATCTCAATTTCGTCATGTTTAAAACAAATATTAGTCTTTAAGGATTACTATTCAGTCAATAAATGTATTCAAAAGAGTTATCTAAAAAACTTGACTATGAAATATAAAAGAGATTTGGTGTTAAATGTGATGCTATTTGTACCAAAAATCATCTCAAAAATGAACATCGTACAACAATTTTTCTCTGATATAAGACGTTTTTTGCATGTGCTTGATTAATAATGCTTAACATATTCGGATTTTATAGTAGTAACACAAATATTGATACTTTCTCAGCACACAATTTTTTTGTTTTTATTAACTATTATATGCATTTTTTCCTTCTTTTAGCCATTTCAAACTAGTTATCGACAACGAAGTGAAGATTTTAAACGAATATTCAATGATTTACCTAGAGAGGAACGACTTATTGTTGGTATAAACTGATTTTGGCATAAGATTGTCATATTCGACTGTTTATTGTCGTTTTTTTTTGTTTTTTTTAAAGATTATTCTTGTGCATGGCAAAAAGAGATATTAATTCAAGGACGAATGTTTTTATCGCAAAATTATCTTTGTTTTCATGCTAACTTTTTAAAATGGGAAACAAATGTAAGCCAAATTTCTACTATCTAAAGCTAATGTCTAATGATTCTTTTTTATTTACAATAGTTATGTCTTCGATGTAAAGACATTATTTCCTTGACAAAAGAAAAGACGGCTATAGTCATACCAAACGCCATTGAAATACGAACAAACAAACAAGATCGATACTTCTTTACAAGTTTTGCAGCAAGAGATAAAACATACATGATGATATTTAGAATATGGCAAAATGCATTAATAGATCAGGTTAGACAGTGAGGAACCATATCCCAATCGGGATATATATCCCGATCGAGCTATATATCTCAATTAGGATATAAAAATGTATCTTGATCGGGATATATTTTTTTCGATATCCCGATCGGGCTGTATTCCTATAGCCTGATCGGGATATCTGCTTTTTTTGTATATCCCAATCGGGATATAATTTTCCTTACAGTAGGGCTGTAGTTTAAAACCGCCCAAAACTAATTAATGTGGCACCTACAGTGTAAAGGTGATATAAAACACAATATATCAGCCGTCAGAACTTGAGTGATGAAAACGCTTCGGCATTTTTAAAACTTTAAACTTTTAAACACAGTTTACGCATCCGAAAACTTTTTTTGTAAGCACACCGTAATTTTAACTGAATATTTCACTGGATGGACTATCTTATGTATATTTAGAGTAGGAGAAAATATCAGGATATTTCGAGAAAGTGTTAAAAATAGCTAGTAGAAAAAGTAAAATATCCTGATCGGGATATAGAATATGGACCTCGAGAATTATTTAAAAAAAAATTGCTGATAGGAAAAAAGACTTGATCACAAGGAAAAAAGAATCTGATACAGTTTTTTACGCCCTTCCGATGGTATGGTCAAAACTTTCCGCGAACATCATCATTTTTTCGCTAATGAATTTTATTTAAAAAAATCGAATTTATATCCCGATTGGGCTATGTGTTTTTTGACTATATCCCGATCGGGATATCGAGCATGAGACTCTACTGTTAGATATTTGACAAAAATAATAAGTATTAGAAACTGAGATAAATTAAGATATAATTTTGTTTTTTGATAGCCATTGTCATCTCAACAATTATGGACTATGGTACATGAGAGTTATGGTGATTATTTGGATATGACAACTGATGAAGAGGATAATTATCATCTTGTACGACTATCAACTACCAATACACAATTATCATCGAATAAACAGAGCAAATCAGATGATAATCAGAGTTTATCAAATGGACAAATTGAGAATGGTTCCAGTAAAGATTATAACAAAAATGATGTAAGAATTTTAAATGAATCTTTAGGGAGACGAATGATGTTTCATTCTATGCGCCAGACACTGTTCATTTAGTAAAAACAAAGCTTAGAAAATGGTATAATTGACATGACAAAAAAGACGGGGGTCGATAAGAGGCAAAATTGGCCCTCTCTCAGATCAAGCTCATATTCACCAGTCTGATGTAGTTTTTCTCGCTGATTAAAACTAGCATCTCAAAAAAACCATTTTCAAGCCCCCTGGAAA